GCTAGCAATACTAGTTATGCAATCATCGGAATGTCCTTTAGTTTTTAAATGAAAATTGTATATATTCAAGTTGTACAACAAGACTTTTGCTCTGAGTGTACCGTATGGAGAGAAACAGGTACTCACGGCGGCTAATTAAAATTTTAATCTTCTCACATTGTTACCATATTTTTCTTTGTGTGTGTGTGTGTGTGGAGGGGAGAGGTTTAAGAACATCTAAAATCTACTCTCTTTGCAAATGTCCAGTGGAGTTTGCAAACAGTACTGGTTATCATTCTAAAGCAATTTGGGTTTTGTCTCTGTTCCCTCTGCCCACCATTAAGGGTGGGTTCTGATAATTAGCATCTCAACCTCAACTATTCAGCAAAATGGATAGGTAAGTGGAACAAGAGACCTGGCGAATCAAATCCATTGATATTTTGACTGTTTGGGAAAAGCTTCTTCTCTTTGGTAGGAAGGGAGCTCTTTCATGGATGGATGGAGATCTTCAGAGCTGTCACAAGCAACCCACGATCACAGGCCGTTTCTAGATGACTCAGACTTCCTGCTGAAAGGGCACGCTTGTCACTGCTGCCCTCCGAAGGCTCCCTCCTCAATGAAAGGGTGAGGTCAAGGCCCTCAGTTCAAAATACAACCGGACGACAAGAAAGTACCCGTGGCTTTCAGGCTCTTTCTAAATCTGGCCACCGGGCTGCTCTGGTTTCACTTAGGGACCCAGCAGTGCCAGCACACACTTAATACTCACTGTGCTGTGGGAGACCACAGAGTGACCCAGGAGTGGCGTGTGGGCAACCCCATCAGAGCCAACGCAACAGCCACTCTGCCTGGTGGAGCTCACAGCAGTGCCCTCGGCGGATCCGCCGCTCGCTCGAAAACTATAATTTTATCCAGAAATGATCATTCCTAAAAATGTCTCCTCAAAAGCAATTAAACTTTGGGGAAATCAAACCCACATTGCTAGCAAAGAATCCCCGGCCAGAAGCCACGCCTAGATTGGCTCTAGGTGTGAGATCTAGAGTCGGCCCAGGGTGAAGTCAGGCTTGAGGACAGCACCACAGAGACAGCAAAGTCAAATGCTTTTGCTGGTCATTAATAAAGACTTTTTCTTGGCAAGAATTTTTGTAGATTATCTCATAGTTTTCCTGATGAAGAAAACAACGTGTTTTGTGAAAATGAAAGAAGTGGTAAGTAGAAAGTCATTTCTGGACTTCTTTAATAAATGACAAAGAAGAGGTTGACTCAGAATGAGCCTCCAAGAGTGGCTCCGATGTTTTCGCAGCTGAATATCCTTAAGGGCATAGTCAGCGGTGGGAGTATGAGTAAGCAAGTAACCCTAAGAATTTAGATATGCGTGAAATGAGGCTGGGAGATGAACTAGGGAGATGACCTAAGAAATGAACTTGGCCTGGCTCAGAGGGGCTACCTTAAGAGACGGAATGGATTCCCAGACAATTGTAGGACACACAATTGTAACAAAGCCAAAACTGTGAAAGTATCTGAATAAGGAATGGGTTGGGAAAGGGAATCCCAGAGGCCAATCTAACCCAATCTGGGGAGAGGCGTGCCGTCCTTGCTCTGGGCTCGTTATCATTTTAGATCAAGATACATCAGCTTCTCTCACCTAAAGACAATAAATTAGTAGTTCTCAAACTTCGGCAATCACCTGCAGTGTTAAAAATATACATCCCCAGACTCCACCCCCTGACAGTCTAAGCCAGTGGGTTTGGACACCTGAATACCCATCCAGCCCACCTGCATGATTCCAAGGCACACGACTTGAGGACCACACTCTGAGAAAAGAAATATCTGACTCCCATGGCAGCTTTCTGATAATGTGACTTTTTGTGAAGTTTGCCCAGGAGGGTGCAACAGACAAGCCTGATGATTCCAGTGTCTTGCCTCGACAGTTAGGGATTCTCATTATGAACAAATCAACTGACTTCTGGTTTCCTATATGGCCGTCTTCACGTGGTAAATTCATACAGATAGCTCAGATTATCTCTCAATAGAGCCTTGCCTCTCTGTACTATTTTTGCATAAAGTTTCCACAATAAAAATATTGACTTCCAAGGCCAGGCACAGTGGCTCATGCCTATAATCCCAGCACTTTGGGAGACTGAGGTGAGAGGATTGCTTGAGGCTAGGAGTTCAAGACGAGCCCGGACAACATAGCAAGACTGTCTCTACAAAAAAAAAAAAAAAAAAAAATCAAAAATATTAGCTGGGTGTGGTTGTGTGCTTGTAGTCCCAGTTACCTGAAAGGCTGAAGCGGAAGAAGGGTCACCTGAGCCCAGGAGGTTGAGGCTACAGTGAACCAGTCATGATTGTGTCACTGTACTTCAGCATGGGTGACAGAGTGAGGAACCAACTCAATATATATATATATTGCTTGCCAAGTGGATTAGTTCATATTAAATTGAAAAAAAATCCAGAATGTTTGCCTGTCCTTCAGTGAGACACAATCTCTAGAGGCAAAACATGAACGCCAGGAGCAATACTAGAGTACATTAGTAGCTTTGACTACATAAAAGCTGGAAACATCTACAGGATAAAAGACATCATAATCTAAAAAATTTTAAGTGACAGAATGGAATAAAATATTTAATTTTTCTGTCACATATAAAAGTTTGAAATCAGCCAGGCACAGTGGCTCATGCCTGTAAACCCAGCACTTTGGTAGGCTGAAGTGGGAGAATCATCAGAGCCCAGGAGTTCCAGGCTGTGATGAGCTGTGATTCTGTTGCCCACTGCACTCCAGCCTGGGCAACAGAGTAAGACCCGAACTCAAAAAGTAATAAATAAATGGTAATTTATTTTAATAGGTTCTCACAAATCATTTTAAAAGCAAGTCATACCAAAGAAAAATGGACAAGATGCAATATATTTGCATGAAATAATTGGTATATGACATACTGAAAAATTATTCATTGTTTACCTAAAATTTAAATTTAATTTGGTGTACCGTATTTTTTAAGCCTGTCAACCCCAAAAGAATATGAACTTCAGATTTACAGCATAGAAAGAAATAATCCACAACGGTTGAAAAGTTGCTTAATATGATCATGCAAAGTAAAACAAACATAAAAATCCTTTTTTGCTCACTAGATTAGAAAACACTAAGACAACAATGTTCCTCATTGTCAAGGACATAAGAAAACACACACTCATTACACTGTCTGTGGAACAGTAAGCTGATAAAAACTTCCTGGAAAATCTTGGCAGCTTTGGTGTAAGGCCTACAATTAAGGTCTGATGTTATGTACCGCCTTGACGTTTGACAAAATTGGAAAGACCCCAATTGGCCTAACTGCAGAGTCTCCTTCCCACCCTGTTCCCTGCCGAAGGGGTCCCAGCCAAACACCCTCTGTATCAAGGGAACTAGACACAGTTCCTGCTCATCCCTGAGTAGCAGGTTTCAACTCCCTGCAAAATTCCTCAAGCAAGCCAACCGTATCCTCCTGGAAAAACCAGGGAGCACGTTGCCCTCTTGTTACTGCAAAGTCTACCTCCCACAGCTCCTGTTTGTTCACTCTGTTCCCAAGTGCAGCCCCTGGGTATCTCAGCATGGCATGTGATATCCCCATCCCCTAGGCTATTAAAGTGACCAATAAACCACTGTTGATCTCATCTGCCCGGTGTCGGGTGCCATGGGCATCCCCATAACCCTAGAGAGTGAGAATCTCTCATTCACCAGTGGAGTGCATAAGTGGAGATTAAAACAATAGCATATTTCACATTTTTAACCTGGAAATATCACTTCTAAGAAAATATCCTATAAATATACTCAGAAATGCAGAAAGTGAGGAACGCGGAAACAGTAATATTCAATATTCATTGCAACATTTTTTATAAGAATGAACGGTTGGAAATAACCTAAATAACCTTCCATCAGGAAATTGTTAAATAGGTTGATGTAAACTTAATCCATGAAATACTATGCAACCGCTGAAAAGATGTGGAAAAAACGCCAAGATTTGTTATTTCTAAGCAATACATACAATCAGCCCACTTTATGGAAAAAAGATATGGCTCTCCCTCTATGTGTGTACATTTGTGCATATAATAAAGTCTCCGAAGGAGAAGTCAGATTGATCAAAGTGACTTCCTCCTGCATAGAGGGCAAGGAGGGGACAAGTGGAAGCTTTTGTGCTTTATGCTCTAAGTTTTGTCCTGCTTGACTCTTGCAATGAAAATGATTCTGGTATTACGTGATGTAATAGGAATTTAAAAGTGAGAAAGTGTATGAAAGTGTATACAAGTATAAAAGTCTTATAGACTGACCATTGGTGACGGTTTGTAGTAATTCATGAAACTGAGCAGTGGGGCCGGCTAGTTCTGGATATTCCAGCACCTTCAGCCTGCAGACATCTCCTGGGCCTCAAAACTACGTGTTGCTTGAGCCTGTAAGTTCTCTGCTTCCCTCCAGAAGAATCCCCTAAGCAAAAATGCCTCGTTCACATTTTTTTCCCACAGAGGCCTGCAACTGAGCAATACAGATGCTCACAAATTTTTGCAAATCTTCTGTCGCCTTCCCCTAACCCCCATCTTTTATTTAACCTCATCGAACGAAGCATGTTTTTTAAAGAGCACATAAAGGGAATGGAAATGAGGTCTGATGAGTAAGAGAAAATGAACGCACACGCTACACACTTTTGCTAGTGTGAGAACCCCAAAGAGCCACTCGTGGTGGCTTCTGCTTGCTAAGTGAAAAACTAAATTGAACCCAAGAATGACGTGTTCTTTTTCCTTTTTTGCTCTCTAAAGAAACTAGCTGGGTCGGGGGTGACAAGTATTGCACTGTCTTCCTGACAAGCAGCATCCATGAGCAGTTATGTACACAGTTCAGACCCTGGGGAAGGTCATCAGATCCCAGGCTACACCAGCCTTGTCCTGCAGCGGCCCAAACACATTCAGGCCCTCCCCATGACCCTGAGGACAGCTCCCTGTCCCAGGCCCACCCTCGTCTACTCATCTCCCCTGGGACATCCGTGACGTCTCACCACACTGATGCCGTCGTTGAGAAGAGCCTCTCCAAAGATCATCATGTAGAGCTGCTCATTCACTCGGGCCTCCTCAAACACGGCCAGCACCGCCACGGGGTCCACGGCCGAGATCAGGCTGCCGAACAGCAGGTTCTGCAGCAGGTTGACATCCCCCAGGCCGAAGGCCTTGATCTGGCAGATGAGGTAGAGGGAGAGGCCAATGCCAAAGGCGTTGATCAGGGACCCTAGCACGGCCCACCACAGGATGGAGCCGATGTTCTCAAAGAAGGGTCGGGTGGGCATGAAATAACCGCCTTCCAGCACGATGGGTGGAAGGAGATACAGGAAGTAGATGCTCGAATCCATGACTGGAGGTGACTTGTGGTCGGTGCCAAAGATGATGCCACCCACCAGAGCCCCGACGAGGATGAGGAGGCAGCTTTCTGGCATGAGGTGTGGCAGCCGGTGGTAGAGGTGGAAACCTGGGAGAGAACAGAGAACGGTATTTAGAATGCAGATGAAATGGTTCTGGGTGTACTCGAGGCCTGTTCAAGCCCAGCAGATAGGACCTCGGGCAAGCTGGCTCCTTCTCTGAGCCCCAGAAGCCATCTACACAGGAGCTGGAAGTGTCACGAGGGCCGTCAATGAGGTTAAGTACTTACTCGCCCAGCTTAGCGTAGGGCACAGAATCATTCTCAGACAGCGGTCACCTTCCCCTTCCTCCTTCATACCTTCCCCATTGCACAGGGATCAGAGAGGGTCCATGAGGGAAAGGAGAAGAGAGGATGAGACTTCTGCTCTCATGCAAAACCCAACTGTCAATCTCATGCAGGGTGTATCTTAGTCACCCAAACCTCAGCGTCCTCGAAACTTCTTCCAATCCCTTCTTCACCAAATAAATACACAAAAACTAAACGTCCTTTATTTTGTTCCCCTTATTTAACCAACGACATTGTCATCTGGCCAGCCACTGAAGAGGACAATGAGGCTGCATTCTCACAAGCCACCCTTTGTCCGCTTTGTCTCTTCATGCAATCAGTTCCGTACTCCTTCAATCACGACTTCCCTTACCTGCGCCTCAAGTCCATCCCCTCCTCTCCATTTCTTCAGCCACAGCCTTTATTTAGGGTCGCCTCATTCCAATTATTGCAACGTCTTCCTAACCTCCAGTCTCACCCTCGACTCCCTGAACCATCCCACACTCTACTGCCAGATGACTTTTCCGTGCCATATATGTCCAATTGTCTCAGTTCCCACCGAAATCTCTGGAGGCACACAAAGTCTCTCATGGGTTGTAAACTAAGGGATACTCATTGAGAATCCCTGTGAAAAGCCCAATCCACTGTTATGTACTGCAAGGTGGAAGACCAAAGAGGTAGACTACCACAATTCCCACTGCTGATAAAGTTTTAGAAACAAGACATGGACAAACAAGAAGATGAGGCCGGGCTCGGTGGCTCAGCCTGTAATCCCAGCACTTTGGGAGGCTGAGGTGAGTGGATTGCCTGAGCCCATGGGTTTGAGACCAACCCGGGCAACTTGGCGAGACCTTGTCTCTACAATGAATCAAAAATTAACTGGGCGTGGTAGCACGCACCTGTAGTTCCAGCTACTTGGCAGGCTGGGGTGGAAGGATCGCCAGAGCCCAGCAGGTTGACACTGGGGTGACCATGAGCATGCCCCTGTACTCCAACCTGGGCAACAGAGTGAGACTCCAACTCAAAAAAAACCAAACAAACCAAGAAGATGAGAACAATGTGACATATAAGTATATGATGAGGGACATATTGAATATACCAGCAAATGTGGTAAGATATAAGAGCTTAGCATGTCACTGTGGTGTTCTCTCCAAGTCTGTTTGCCACTATCTTTACATGTCCTACATGATAGCCAAACACCTTGTCACTCTGCAGGTCCCTTTTCTTGTCTTGTTATTCTATTATCACTGCTTGGATTATCCTTTTAGGTCCTGCCCAGCCTTTGAGGCTAAGCTTTTCCCATCTTTCTCGTGATTTTATGATATGGCTTTCTCTGAGTTACCAGAACATTTTATCTCTGCCTGTCTAATAACCATGATCCCTGTTTACCACTTTTTTGTGTGTGCATGAGTTATGACCCCTACTAATCTGCAAACTCCCCGAACTCAGGCAGAATGATTTATATCTTCACACCTCCCCAAGTGCATAGCAAAGAGCCTTGTCCACAACAGCTGGTTTAATTGCTAAAAGAATCTCTAAGTATATATATGAATGAATAGACAGATTAAATATTGCTCAGAGAAGTTTTTGCATGGAAAGAAACTGAACAGGTCGTTGGGGAGTGGCAAAAAGTTGCATATGGGGATAAAAATGGGAGACATTTTGAAAAGAGAGAACTTCAAGAGCCAAAGAAGAGAGGCGGAAATGGCCCAGCCAGGTATCTCTGACATTCATTGAGGAGGCCCACCTGATTGGAACAAATTTTGAATTTAAAAAAGTATCAGGAGAAGACTGGAATCTAATTTTGAACCAAAAAACGGAAGACATTGAATTCAAGCTAAGACGCTAAGAAAGAGTGGGCTTCTTCCCATAGGCCAGGAGAGTCAGTGAATTTCTCCTTGGGAACTGTTATGTTCAGCCACCCAAAGAGGATATGGGCTTTCCTGACCACAGCTTTGAACTTTTCCTTTCACTCCAAGCAGGCAGGTTAATTCAGTGGGGTATAATTATCATCCCTGAATACCATCTCTCTCCCACTTCTATCCCACTGGCCTCAAGTCCAGTTGAAGTCCCCCTTCTAGAAAATTGGACTCCTCATTTTCTAGGAAAAAAATTATCTTTCTTTCTTCTTTTACTTCTTCTCATCCTCTTCCTCTCCCCCCTTTTCCTTCCTCTTCTTATTTTCCATCTTCTCCTTTTCCTTCTCCTTTCTTTCCTTTAATTCTTCAGTAGTGCTTATTTCGACCAAACTTCACTTGTCTTAACATGTAAAGGAGGTGGAAGATGTAAACTGTGTGACAAATAAGTATACAATGAGGGGCATTGAACATACCAGCAAATACGGTAAGTGATCAGAGCTCAGCAGGTCACTGTGGTGATTTTCTCAGGCCCTGTGTCTACCCAGCTTGCCCCAGCTTCCAGGAAGTGAGTTTCCTGAAATGGATTCAGCAATCACCTGCCTTAAGCCAAGGTGCCCCCTACCTGGTTGTGGCAGAAAGAGGCGACATACCCATAAACAGGGCGTTGTAAAGGGAAATACTGCATGCACTTCACATTTTAAAATTTTTTTTCCCTTTCATGATGGACAGTAGAATCCATCACTTTAAGATTTTACAGTTTCAGGGCTTAGAAGTTAGATGAACAGGAATATAAAAGATGACTCCACATTTTCATTCTTCCAGTGATTCAAGGAATATTCTTCCATGATGTTCCAAGAAGTGAAACTGCAATAAAAGAACCACAAAGTCTGAGGTGACTTTGTATTATCTTTGTTCTCAAACATCGATGTTTTATAAATGCACTGTTGGGAGTTTTAAAAAGGATTGGGGAGAATTTTGGTGTTTTTCTGCCAGAATGTCTCCCAGGCAGTACTAGGTTACCCTGTCTTTCTCATTAGTCTAAATTCCTTGATTAGAGACCGTGGTCACTTTCACACATTGCATGGGTATTCAGTAAATGTACAGATGAGAAATAAAAGAAAGAATCATCATAATAATTATTATTTATTATATTCTGATTCAGCTGTTATAATCTTTAAAAACATATGAATTTCTTATGTTAAAGTTTTAAAAATCACTATAATAATTATTATTATTTTGCTCCTGGCAAATAAGCCATTATGACAAAACTCCCAGCCCAGTCCTTGGCACATAATATATATTCAAGAAATGTGATATCTTCTCCCCCCTCACTCCTCCTGTCCATTTGAGATATAAAAATTACCTGAATTCTTGAAGGCAAGCAAATATGAAATTGTTCTTGAATCGCCATGCTGCGACTGATAACCTACTTAAGTTGTTTTGTTTTTCTAAAGTATGTTGGATTACATCAATATGAAAAGCAAGAACATTTAAGCAGGTCTTTGAATGGTAGTGTTCTTCACTTGTAGACATAGTAAATCTGGGCACATGCAATGACTTTAAAGCGCAAGCTATGTTTTACGCTAATATAAAACCAAGATAAAATGCCTCCTTTCTGCATTTTGATGTTTTCTGATAGGCAGTGTGACTGGCTAGCCAGTGAGAGATCTGGTTTCCTGATTCTCAGACCAACTTGAGTCATTACTGTGAAGAGGATGTTGAGTTTTGAGGGGGGGGGGGTAGGGGGCTCAGAAACTCTAGAAGTGTTTACAAAAGAAAACTCAAGTGCCATATAGGATTCCTTTGAACATAATCAGTGTCTATGTGGTTTCATGAAAGGTGTTAGATCCTTTGCTCTGAACTGAGAATGTGATCTCTTTGGAAAGTCATTTTAACTTAAACTCTTCTTTAAAAATAATGTGAGATCTTTTGTGTAATTTAACCATTTAACAAACTGCACAGTTCTTCAGACTAACAACTCCCATTCAATCTTCACACTTTAGAAGCTCAAAATAAAGAGCCGTTAAGAAGGAGTGCCTAATAAATACACCCGTGCCAGCTCCCCAACCCCGGGTCAGAAATAGACAGAGCCCACAAATGTTAACCGCCAGACCCTGAGACTCAATCCATATTTCACGCCTGTGTATATATACATATACATGCATACATATGCATTAAAATATTGTTGCAGATTCCATCTCAGTAAATAATCTATGCACTCAAATAGCATAAAGTTTCTAGCCGAGGCAAAGGAGACATTATGCTTAGTAATTGATATAATTGTATCGATTTCCCACTTTGGAATGAGCTAGTTTGAAGGAGATAAGGGGTGTAGTTAGGGATGAAATGGTCACAGATTATAAACCACCACTTTGACTTTTCTGACACAAAGAACCCTTGATTGGAATTTGATCCATGAACTTCAGTTTACTTTTTTTCACAAAGGAAACCAGAGGTGCGTCCCTGGCTCCATGTGGCCGAGGTGTAAACCAATATTTTCCCAACAGATACCACTTTGTATGCCCCCAAATCCCATCATTGAGTGACATAAGAGTTGCCTGTGGTTGTCTTGTTCTGTGCTTTCTGTCGATTTGCAAGGAGCACGCGCCACTTTTAAAGAATTAACAATGGGGACCATTGATGAAGCCAAGAATGAAGGAAGAATTGTCTACAGAAGAAACATTATGTGGTTCCTGAAATTTCCAACTGGCATCACTCCTAGGTCTACATACTTTATTCCTCATATTTTTTAAAGCACAGAATTTGAAACTTTTATATGCCATATAATGTCACGTGGTTGTCACCCTGAAATGAGAAGAAACCAAAACAGCTCAGGACCCAGGAGTATATTCTTAAATTTCAAACACTGAAGAATTAAGCAGCTTAGTACAAAGTAGTCATGACTTTCCCTTTACTGAAGGGAAGAGCATGTTTAATGTAATTGCAATAACGGCTAAAATCCATTTAGTCTATCATCTATAAGGCATGTTCACCTTCATTATCTCATGTAAAAAAAGTCCCCAAGCCCAGTGTTTAAGGACTTACCTATTTTTGCAAGAGATGCTAGAAGTATCCAGAGGGTAACCTCATAAGGAATTTGCACATAGTCATAATCCAGTTCAAAAACAGATATTCTCTCCTCTCCCTCTGAGCTGGCAGCAGCAAACAGAGCCTTAGGGGCATTCTGGACGGTGGAATTTGCAGATTCATTCAAATCAGAAGATGCTTTAGCACACTCAAGGACCACGAGCAATAGCAGCCAATTCCGAGGACTGAAAGTCACAAACATCTGCAAACACATGCTTGTGGGCTTCTCCTACCTACACTGAGTGTGTCGACGTGTGCGACCCATCTGAAGTGGGGAAGGCTTCTTTCTGGGTCAAAGGTCATTTATATACAGTCCGTGGGTCATTCCGGAAGACTCCGAGTGTGTCATTGAGTTCTGCGTCTAGATGTTTCCAAATCTTCTTTCAGTCACTTGTACTCAGGCAACTCAGCTTCCGGCTCAAACGCAGTTATTCAATAGATCATTTAAAGTTCAAGGAGCTACCTGTAGATCCTCCATCGAATCATGACTTGAAGAGTCATTCAGGAAGGAAAAAAAATCTTCACTTAAAGCCGTTTCCTCACTTTGCTGCATACTGGTTTCATCTCGTGGGTGAACACTTTAAAGGACACAACAGTGCTCATTCTATATGTCACTGGAGTCCTTCTACTGCAGAAGGTAATCCTTCCCTCTCTACCAGATTCCAGGAAGGATCCTGCACCTGTCCCTTCTCTCCTCCCCCTGCTCTCTGACTTGTTTTGAATAGCCAAGGCTGCAGGTAGCTCTTGAGCTACACTTAATTATTTGCTCTGATTTGACTTTTGTAATGAAATTCTGTGTTCTCCAGAGGTCACACTGCTGACACCTAGTGGGCACCTTCAAGACAACACCCTGGGCAGGTACAACAATGAACTCATTAAGGTGACCCGGTGGTTATCACCCAAGTCAGAACACTTTTGAGAATGAAGGACTATTAATGATTATGCCAAGTCATCAGTGTAAAGCAGAGTTGTCCAGGAAAACTGCGTATATGGTCTCTATAAACAAGGAAGAAGGAGGAGGTGGCAATGAAAAAGATGGTAACAAACACTGACATTTTTGCGCCTTACCTGACTCCATGAGCAGTAATTCATAAGAGGATAAAGATCCATCTCTTCATAAACTTCACACAGTATTTTTTTTAAAAAACAAGAAGTCAAAGGACAAGATCCATAAATACACCTAAAAATCAAATCCTGAAAAATTACACAGCACTTTCAAATTTTCCATTTTAAAGAATTTTGTTCTGGTAAGTCCAGCCGTTCAAAAGAAGCAGTCTCGCAGTGTTCATAGAAGAATTTTGAAATGAATGTTGTGAATCTAGTTCAAGTTCTTCTACCTACTTGGCCAAGTTACTTACCTGTCAAAGATTATTTATCTGAAAAGGAGAGCATAATATTTACCTCATCAAGTGGCTGGAAACATTAAGTAAGCTAAAGCAAATAAATAATTTGCCATATAGTTGACACTTAAGCAAATGTTAGTTTTTTATTATTTTAGTGACATTGCTTATGTTTATAGAATAAGATAAATGCACACTGTTGTAATGATCAATAGTACTTAGAAGAAAATGGGGATTATTTTTATTTGTAAACCATATACTTCCCCAGTATCTCTTCTACATCAATCTGCAAGATGATTTGTGTTTTTTCTTAGTTCAAAATAGTGAGTGTAGGTGATCCACGCCCCTCCCCCCCACACACATACACACTTGGAAGATCACTAGTTCAGCCTCGGTAGTGTAGCAAGACCTTGTCTCTACAAAGAAAAAAAAAAACTTTTTTCAACTAGCCAGGTGTGGTGACACATACCTGTAGTACTAGCTACTCAGAAGGCTGAGGTGGCAGGACAGCTTCAGCCCAGGAGTTTGAGGCTTCAGTGAGCCATGATCATGCCACTGCAATCCAGCATGGGCAACAGAGTGAGACCCCAACTAAAAAAAAATCATTAGAAAACTGAGGAAGAAATGGATGTAAAGGGTCAACACCTAAGTGCAAATTTATTGTAAGACAACAAAATTAAGAGTTCACATATGGGTTTTTCCTCTTTCCTTTAGTTTGACTCCAGAATAAATTAGACTTAGTCACTAAAATGAGATCATCAGGTGGATTACAAGAAGGGCACCATATTGGGTCAATTATTTTTCCTCAAAGAGGAATATATGAGTAGCCTATAATAGAAAGCTACTTTATGATAAGCATTCTATTTTTATTTGCATTTTTATTGTACTTAAAAAAAAGAGATGAGAGAGAGTTTACCATGGTGCGCTGAGAAAAAAATCACAACTGAGAATCAGAAGATCTCTGTTCTCAGGCATTAATTATTTGATTGAGTTTGGAAAATTGCCTGTTTGAGTCTCAGATTTCTCATGTATATAATGAAAATGCTGTCCATGATAGGTAGCCCTTTCTTGCTCTAAAATTCCAAATCTTTGTGAATATATGACAACCTGTCTAGACTTACAATCAACTGATTGTTAAAGTATAATCCCTCTTTAAAAAAGGCATGTCCGAAGAGCAGATGTCTCTGAGAATCCAAACACACTGGATCATATGTAGGTATGTACCAAAGAAGACAAGCTCATGGCATGCACAGAGTAGGAAAAGAGTCAGAAAATTAGCTTAAAAGCAGCTCAGAGGCAGGTGGTGGGATGGATCTCAAGAACCCAGGAGTGCCCTATATGTAAGCCCTTATAAACTCCTCTACTCATCAAGCTGAACTTGTCCAAGTCATTCTTTAGTCTCTTGACTTCTTCCCAATTTGTGAAAACATTCTTTCATACAATCTTGGGGTTTTCCCCTATCAACATACAGTGGAATACTATTTAGCCTTTAAAAAGGAACATAATTGTAACACATGCTACAAAATGGATGACTCTAAAATAGATGGTGCTAAATGATATAAGCCAGACACAAAAGGACAAATATGGTAATTCCACTTCTATGAGGTTCTTAGCATAATCAAATTCACAGAGACTGAAAGTAGATTGGTGGATACCAGGAGGTAGGGGAGGGGAGAATGGGGAATTATTGGTTAATGGATATATAATTTCAGTTTGGGAGGATAAAAAGGTTTTGGAGATGGATGCAGTGTTTGTTGCACAATAATGTGAATGTACTTAATGCTACTAAACTCTGTACTTAAAAATGGTTAAACTGGTAAATTTGGGGCGGGAAAGAACTTTTTTAGTTCTGTTTATTCATTTAGGCAATGATGGTATCATCAGTAAGTAGAAACATAACTTTATATTTAGGATTCATTTTCTATTTTGAAAAAAAAAAGCATGACCATCCACAGAGCACAGTAAGAGAACAATTTGAGTTCTGCCACAGCTTAGTGGCCCAGGTTAGGATTTAGCTTCCTGGCTAGGCTCAGTGACTCAGCCTGTAATCCCAGCACTTTGGGAGGCCAAGGCAAGTGGATTGCCTGAATCTGCAGGTTCAAGACCAACCCGGGGAACTTGGTGAGATCTTGTCTCTACAATAAATCAACAACAACAACAAAAATAGCCAGGCATGGTAGCACACACCTGTAGTTCTGGCTACTTGGAAGACTGAGGCAGAAGGATCACCGGAGCCCAGCAGGTCGATGCTGGGGTGGCCGTGAGTGTGCCACGGCACTCCAGGCTAGGTAACAGAGTGAGACTCCAATTCAATCAAAAAAATAAAAAGATTTAGCTTTCTGACTTGTCAACCCTTGGCATCATTTCACCCATGAAATCTGTTCACAGAGATGACTGAATACTCTTCCTAAAATGCTTCCTTAATCTAAGTTCCCCAGTAAAGAGTATGAGACAAAGCTTCCAGGAGTGGCGCAAACCAAGGGCAACAAAATTGAGAGAAAGAGGAGAGCAAAAAAGAAGCACTTATTTCCAGAACCACAGCGTGAGGAGCTCCACAGACTCTGTCCCTAATGAAACAACCGAAACTGGTGAGAATCATTAAAAGCAAAAAACAACCACACAGCCTCTGGAAATTGTTTTAAGGGCATAGAGCAATTGAAGCAAATCTTCTATATATCTGTAAGACATGCAAAAGTCTGTGGCATGCTCTGTTTCTTCTTCCCACCCCTCGACTCAGTGTAAGGAAAATTCTTCTCTGGGTAAATGTAGCAAAGACTATACGTTTCCCTCTATCTCCAGATCCCAGTTTAAGGCTCCATTTTCTACTCAGAAAAGTCAGGCTGTCAGTACTTGTGAACAAACTGTGCCTCAGCCTAGCCCCAGCAATGTGTTACCCAAAGCTGCATTACAGGCAAGTATAACGGAGTGAGCCCTTCTTCCAGACAGTCCCACTCAAAGGATAGAAGCACTGCTACAGACACAGCAGGTCATGAATACTGAGCCCCAATCACTGTCACCCCAGCTTGCTCATAAGACTGGATTTTCACACCAAGAGGAATAAGCCAAGAAGACTAGCGACCACTACCCCTGCCCAACCTCTCTCTTATACAGTACAGGTACCACTCCAAGAAAAGCAGGTTGTTGTCCCTGTTTCCATCTCCACAGTGGTAGAACAGAATTTCTGACAAATAAAGGAAGCAGTTGATAGAACAGAGAACTTTACAGCCATCTCTAAGCAGACTGACTTTCTTTGGAACAAAATAAAGTTCAAGCTTAAGGGCACTGTCAAAAACTATGGAGATTTAGATTGTAAGAAAGTAAGAAAAGCTAATAACTTCATGATAGCAGCAAGTGAAAGAGTAGACCAACTAGAAGTTTAAAAAGAGACATCTAAGGAGAGCCCCCACTGAAGTCAAAGCAAATCTCAAAGACAGGTCTCAAAGTTTACCCTGCAAAGGAAACTGAACTAATTGAATCAGACTGTGAAGCAATTTATGGCCCAAGGCACTGTTGAATGCAATGGACCATTCTGCTAGCAATTACCAGAGGCTAACAACTGAGTGTGATGTCAATAGGACAGCAGATCAGCTAGAAAGTTAACAGGGAGATCAGTGGGAAAAGAGTCAAAGAGAAGCCTGCGGAAACCACTGTCCTCCTGGGAGAGAGAGGAAGGGTTTAGGAGGATTATGAGAATGTCCAAGTCTAAACTGACAGAGAAGTAATATCAAAAGCAGCACAGGAAAATAGACTTTACCAAAATAGTCTAGTCAAGTCACTGAAAAATAAACCATCAAACAACAACAAACCCTGGAGTTGGGAAACAGGAATCAATATCAAGAGTTGCTACAAAATGTAATCTAAAATAGCCAGTTTT